ATTTAAATGTTAAATATATGTAAATCCTAAATCTAAATGTATAAATCTAAATATAAAAGTTAAATCTTGAAATTGTGGCTAAAAGTTTACATTAACATATACATATTTCAGAATGGAATGCTGCCTTTGCTGTTGGTACTTGGCTTTTGTTATGATGTGATCAGCCTGAGATAATAGCAACCGCTAACACAGCTAACACCGCTAACACTGCTGCTGATGGTATTTATAATTTGTTCATTGAAAACAACATGGATGGTACCTGTGGTACAGCAGGTTGAAGCGCAGCTCTGAGACCATCTGCAGCTGCAGGTTTGAAGTCTCGTATGGAACAGTTAGCAGAGTTAGCACTTGCTTTGTCTCAGGTTGAGGATAACACGAGCCTAAGGTTTAACTTTTACATTTAGATTTAAGATTTAATATCTACATGTATTAGTTTACATTTAAATTGAACATGTAGTAGAAATGTAAGAACAATGAGCTAAATAATGAAAAAATGTTGGTGGAATTTTTTTTACTAGAATTTTACACTCAGAAAATGAGCTAAACCATAAAATTTTTAAACTTTTTATTTTACACTCAGCATCCCATAGTTGAGAGCATTCAGAGTAAAATCATTAAAAAATCTTTCATGCAAGTTTACCTGTTGTGACAACAGGAACAACAAAAATAACTGTAATAATTAGCCTGAACGAAAACTTCAATGATTTTATCATAACTTTAATTTTCCTTTTTTTGACAAAAATTTTCAAAGCATCAAAGGTTTTAAGTTATTTGAACCTATTAAATGTGTTCATCCTTTTTCAATCGGCACATAAAGCAGGACTCAGGTGGGGCAGCACTGATGAGAGCAGCTCAGGTTTGCTGTGGAATGAATTGTTTTGGATTTATTACAGTTTATGTAAAAAAACACAAGATTATAAATATTCATGTTTCTGGTGATTTTTTTTTTTTTTGGGGGGGGGGTGTTGTCAAATTCTTCACTAGCAGCATTTGCTGCAAGTCTTTTCTAAATAAAGTTTCATTTGTAACTTTGCTCCCCAGACTTTTATTTACTGTTTGACACAAAAAATGCAGTAAAATTTACTGTCCTTTCATTGTCTGAAGGTTGATAAAATGTCTTCACTGTGTAGCTTTCATGCTTCCTTTTATTTCTTTCTCAGCTACTTTTCATCTTTTGAACACACACGACTTGCTCATTATCATGTCACGGTGCTGTCATGCAGCTCAGCATGCAGCCACCAAAAGAGGAGAATAGACCACTTAAAAGACTGGAGGCATTTGTTTTTTTATCCTCCAGAATAAAAAGGCTCATTTCCACAGCTGGCTGTCTGAAAGTAACAATGTCAGAAATGTTTCTYGTGTCGGCCCTTCAGAGACGGTCCTTTCTGTTCACAGCCAAACATGGAGGAGTCCAGTCTGCTATCCGAGGTCCTGTCTGGTCCTCTCCCCTGGGACCCAGCCTCAGTCAGCCGTGTCTGGGTCCTGTGTATGCTCGCGCACACACTTGTATTTGCATCAAACTGAGGACTTTGTATTGACTTCCATTCATTTTTGTAACTGTATTTATGCCTAACCCAGACATTTTCCCTAAAAATAACCATTACTTGTCTCTAGTTAACACTAACCAGAACTTAATTCACACCATACATCTAAACCTAACTAGTAAAGTACAGCAGAGCTGCAAATAAAGTGAGAGCATTACAGAGGTCCTCACTTTACAAAGACCTCACTTTGATACGGTGCAAATGGTCCTCACTCTGTAGTAGAAACAAGTACACACACACACACACACACACACACACACACACA